TACATGTTTTTGTTTTCTTTTTATATTTCTTTATTCATCTCCTCTATCTGTTTGATAGAGTCTCTTAACTTTCTCTTGCTTATTTCTTCCTATTTTATATTCCCTGTTTTGTACTTCTTCTTACTTTCACTTCTTTTAATTACTAGCTTCTTCTTTCTTAATCATGTCCTTCATCTCTTACTTTATACTTAATGTATTCATATATGTATTATGATTTCTTGGTTGAAGTTCTGGTCTTTTTTTCTTTAAATATCTTCTTTCCTTTCTTATCAAATTTTATTTATAACAAAATTGTGTTTCTTGGGATTATTTCAGTCTTTTAATATTTTAAATTTGGTAAACAAAAATATGAAATGCCTACTACCAAAAATCTTTGAAAATTAGTTTGGTATATTCTAAAATTATCATAAACCATTGAACAAAATACTTATTCTTTTGTTTCTATTTCATCATTCTTACTCTTTTATTAATTATTCTTATATTCTATTATTAATTTGTGTTTATCAAGAAGAATAAAATAAGACCAAAATAAAATAATCAATTCAATCATTTTCAATTAAATTCTTTGAATGAACATAATAAAAATGTATAGTATTACTTTTATTTTAGTACTTCATACTAACATATTAATATTCGAATATATTTATAATTATACTTTAATTATGTTTTGATTTCTTTTAATAAATACAAACTACCATTAAATATCAATAATAAACATTATACAAGAATTGTCATTTCTTACAATTTCTTATTTGAATTAACTCATTGAATAATTAAAAATTACTTAATTAAGTGTTAATAGATTTTTCATATATTCTTCCTAGTTTAGCCGAGATTAATCAAATCCCTGAGTTATTTGTTTTTTAAAAAGAGTAATCTTTTTCTTTAACTTATCATTTATGTTTTTCTTGCAAATTGTTAAAATCACTTCTTTTATTTTTTCTTATTAATGTCTTCTCATCCTTCTTCTGCTTATTTCTTCTTTTTATCCTTTTGTTTATTTTCTATCTTAATTTTAAACATTTTCTTTTTCCTTTTTTCTTTATTTTATGAATGAGAGAAGAGAGTATTTCATTCCCATTATATTATTATGTTTAATTTTCTTTTAGTCTTACCCACACTTTAGTACTTCCTTATATTACACCATGTAATATTCTATCATAATATCTTGCTACACCCTTTGCAGTTTTACCTAATACATTTCTAATTCAAATACACCGTCATAACCAGATAATAACTGGGAGAGTCGAAGCTTGAATTCTATTAGTGTTTGTGTCGTGTTTCAGACATAACACCTTCAAATCACTTCGATTTATAATAGAAAAATAGAGAAAGAAATAGTACAAAAATTTATAAAACTAACCAATCAAATACAAATTAAAAGGGTTTAATTCTCAATAATCTGATAATAAACACAATGCAACATCAACAGAATGAGACTGTTTCACATACATTCGAATGTTTTGACAATGATATTTTAAGAATACTTTTACACAAAATAGAGATATTATTTTCTAATTATCTTAATAAATACATTGGAAAAATCAATGAAAGCTTAGACAACCTTTCTCAACAATTCAATCAATTCCAAAACAAAATGAATGACATTGAAATGTTTGTGATAAAGTTGTGTTCAAAGGATGAAAATGAAGAAAAAATGAAAGAGCAAATAAACAAACTTGAAAAAATGACTATTGAAAAGATAAGAGAAGTGAAAGAACAAACACAACAAGCAAATGAGTCTATTAACAAGAGACTAGAAGAACAAGACAAACAATTTGCAGTAACTACTACAGACGTAATTTTTCATCGTTTCCTGATTAAAAAAATTCTTAAAAATACTCAAACACCAAGTCATGAAGACATTCATGAAAATACTCAAACACCAAGTCATGAAGATAGAGAATTAATTAGAGGAGTAGTTGAAGAAGAAATGATGACAGAATGTTTGACTCAAGATGAAAGACAAATAAATTTTTTAAACACATTAAGAGACATAGTCTTGAATGAAAGAAACACTACATCAATGAGTGATAAAGAAAGTTGTGTTATACCTAAAGAAGTGAAATATAAAGACTCTGAAATAACATCAAAACACCAAATCAAACAACTAGAAGAATGGACAGAAAAAAGAATATCAAATATATTATTTGATTCAGATAAAGATGATTGGAATTATGATACCTCAGTATTTGGAGAAAGAGTAATGAATAAAGAACATATAATAATTATTATTGAAGATGAAGAAGGAAATAAATTTGGAGGATATATTAATTCTAAAATTGATGAAGTTGGTTATTATATATATGATTCACAATCATTTGTATTTTCATTAGAATCAAATGGAAGAATAGAAGGAATGAAGAAATTTGATATTGAAATACCACAACATGCATTTTGTTTATTTAATCAATCAGATGATCGTCTGTTTGAATTTGGACATGGATATAGTGATATTCTTGTTTATAAAGAAAATAATAAAACATATTCATATTGTAATCAATATTCATTTGAATATGAAGGAATATCAAATGCACTTTGTGGAAAAGAATGGCCAAATTATTTCACACCAAAACGAATCATAGTAATTGAATTGAAATGATTCAATCTTGAATAATTGAAAATGAACTAAAAAAGAATAAAAAACAAATCAATGAAGAATATTAACATTTTGTTCATCTGCCAATGAATGAAATGGTGAATTAAAAATGGACATAATTCAATGTTGATTTATTTAATTTCATTTGAAATATTCACACCCAATGATGGTGTTTTTAATAAATAAGAAAAGAAATAAGAATAAAATAGAAATAAGATAAAATGAATATAAGTATAAATAAATTAAAAATTGAAATATAAATTTAGAAATAACAAAATTGTAAATTAAAATTGATAAAATAAGTATTAAAATCGACGTTAAATACGTTAGATAGATTAGAATCAATTAGTAAATATTTCTTTTATTCTTAATATTTTATATATTTATTTCATTTATTTATTACATTATTTATATTACTATTTTTTTATTTTATATATCGTTTGTTTTTGATTTTTATATTCTCCATTGATCGTTATTTCCATATTTCTTTGGTATCACTCGTTTTATTACTCAATATTCTTATAAATCATCGATTTTAATTGAATTGTAGTTCATTTATTGTAGTGTTATATTTGTCATTTTTTCTGTTTATATTAACATAGTACTTTGTTTATAGTAACTGATATAACTTCTTGATATTATAGAACAGATTGAAACAGTTATTATTTTGTATTAAAATTTATTTATATAACAATTTCATCTTATTAAAAAAAGATGTTTTGAATATATATATATATATGTTTATTTGCATATCACTTTGAGTATTGTGAAGAAAACCAATACAAATAATACAATATTTAGTTAATAACACTGTTTTATAAAAATACCAACCAACAAAATATAACTACAAAAATGGGGTCATGACACAAAGTTGTAAAATATCAATAAACTTTAAACAAATACAGTTTATTTGTTTTTTAAATAAAACAACCAGATACTGAATAATATTGTTAATTGAAGAATTATTAAATTGTTCCTTTATGCCTAAATCAAAGAAGTTATACAAGTAATAAGCAATACACTTCAAAGATGAAATGAAGATAATAAAAAGAATGAATTGGAAATGAGTACAATAGTATACCAAAACATAAACCCAATAAACAAAAAAATAATAATATTAATAAAAAAAATTCATTCATTTTGTTAATAAGTATTATTTATTGTATTGATTTGTTGTAATTATATTTATTTAACAATTTAATAAAAGAGAGATAAATTAAATAATAAAGCCAAATACAATCCATTAACTAACAATCAATTAAACTGATTTCCTTTTTCGAATATTATTGAAAAAGAAGATATTTATAAATACAGCAAAGCTAATACATTTATTTTTTGAAATTGAAAATATCATTTAAATATTTCAAGTAACAAATTATGTTTTATAATACATAAATAATGAATGGAAAAAAGAATAGAAAAAGAAGAAAAAAGAAAAGAACTAAAAAGAACTGAAAAGAACTAAAAAAAAATATTAAACAAAGTAATGTTCATACTTGTTTTATTTATTTGTTTAAGTTATAGTCAACTGTGTACACCAATTAGAGCTCAATACAAAGATGTTGTAAATGGGTATACACTTAAATATGTTCAGGCTATTGCAAGACATGGAGACAGAGCACCAGGAGATTCATTTTATGGAGACAATGGAGAATTTTATTGTGGTACATTAGAAGAATCACATATTTATATGAACAATGGAAATAAAGTCTCACATACTGCATCTTCTAAAGCAACAGTAATTGATAAAAAGAATAATCCATTTGCAGAGAATTATATGTGGAAAGGAAGTTGTGAACCAGGACAATTAACACCAGAAGGAATAACAATGCATTATCAATTAGGAAAACATTTTGATGAAATATATAGACAACATCATCAATTATTACCAACATACTTTGATCCATCAATTGTTAAAATTAGAGCATCAGCTAAAGTAAGAACATTACAAAGTGCACAAGCATTTTTACAAACATTTTATCCACTTGAAAGAAGAAAAAGTGTAGTTGATATTGAAATAAAAACAAGACCATATGAAATTGAAACATTAAAACCAAATAGAAATTGTTGCCCTAAAATTAATGAATTAGAAGAAAAAATAGCAACAAATGAAGATATTATTAAAAGAAGAGAAGAACCAACATTTAAAAATGTATTTAATAAATTAAAAAGAATTACTGGGTTTCAATCAGGATCATCATATTTATATGACTATGTTGATTTAATTACAGCTCGTATTTGTCATAACGTTACTCTTCCTTGTAAAGATAATGAATGTTTTACAGAAGATGATTATAAAATTCTTGTTAATGAATATTTATATGAAAATAAATATTTCTTTAATAATGAAATTGCTCCATATCAACTTGGATTCTTTATTGATGAAATGTTAAATGATACTGATGATGCACTTAAGTCAAATATTGTTTATCAACATTACTCTGCACATGATACTTCAATTTATGGTATTTTATCATTACTTGAATATGACACTCAAATAGCTATTCCTTATGCATCTACTATAGTATTTGAATATTATACTAAAGATAATCAAATATTTGTTAGAACATTATTAAATGATGAAGTATTAAAATTAAATAAATTATGTACTTTAATTGATGATATGTGTTCTCTTACTGAATTCGAATCTAAATTACGTGCTAAAGTTCCTCAATACTCTTCATGTAATGATGTTGCTATTAAGAAACCAAGAATAATTTCTAGAAAAGGATGGTTTACTAACAATTAATATTTTAATTGAAAAGTACTTTTTATTGTATTTTAAATTATTATTTTATTATAATTTATAGTAAAATTTACTTTATATTTAATTTAATGGTTTTAAAAAACTTCAAATAACATTTTATTTTTATTCATAAATATTTGTGTTTTTTATTATCAAATTTCTTATTTATTACTTTCCATTTTTTACTTATTTTTTTTTTTTTTTTTTTTTTCTTCTTTAAAAAAATAATTAAATGGTATTTTATTTTTAGGAATTTGATAATTAAATTTGGATTGAATTACTTATTTTGATAGTTTAAATTCATAACTAATGAATATTATTTACAACTCTTGATTATTAATTCATATTATTTAGTATTTATTATAACTAATGTAATTTGTTATAACTGAAAATTATTTGATAATATCTTTTTTATTTTTATTCTTCTAACTATAAATTATTTCTACTCAGATATATTTCATTCTTTTTCTTTCAATTTAAAAATGAATGAAATGCATTAATTATGAAATAATTTTTTTTTATAAAATATTAAAAATAACAATTTCAAAGAGATATTTTTAAGTTCATTAAAGATTAATTTAAAAAAACTATTAATAGAATATATAAAAAACTAAAAAAAAAAAAATAATAAGAAAAACACAAAACGAAAGAAAAAGAACTTAAAAATCAATGAGTGAATCAATAAACGTAATAGATCCATTAACAAAACCAATTGAAAAGAATAACACGAATAAAGAAAAAGAAGAAGGAAAAATAAAAGAAAGAATAAGTAAAAGAGAAAGAATAGTAGATGAGATATATACAACAGAAGAAAGTTATGTTAATACATTAGAACAATGTATTGAATATTATTATAAACCATTTCTTCAATGTAATGAATTAAATGAAACAAGAAAAAATGAAATATTTTTATATTTACCAGAAGTACTTTCAACAGCAACAGCATTTTTAAAAGATATGGAAAGTTATAGAAATAATAAAACATTAGAAAATAAAGTAGTTGATTGCTTTAAAAGGTTTATACCATATTTAAAAGTATATAAAATGTTTATTGGAAATAATGAAATTTGTTTACATGCATTAGCTGCAATAGAAAAAAGTCCAATTGTTGTTTCATTTCTTGAACAATGTCGTATTAAAATTCCTAGTAAAAGCCAACAACCATTACGTTCTATTCTTATTATGCCAGTTCAACGTATTCCTCGATATGTTTTATTATTAAAAGATCTTTTAAAGAATACTGATGTTAATCATTCTCAATATCCTATTATTCAAGGTGTTTTAAAAGAAGTAGAAGAATTAGCTCAAGTTTGTAATGCTGCTTTATTAAATACTGAAAGAATGTTAAAAATGTTTAAAATAAGAGATTCTATTCGTGGATATTCTGGAGAATTAGTTAATTCTTCTCGGTATTTTGTTAAAGAAGGTTTTCTTACTAAACAATGTAGAAAAACTCCTAAACCAAGATATTTCATTTTATTTAATGATCAATTAATTTATGGAACTGAAACTATGGGTATTGTTACTGTTTCTGATGATAGAATCATTGACTTATTAGATTGTATTATTACTGATATTCAAGACTCTTCTACTCGGAAGTTTGCTTTTCAAATTCAATCAGGTAATCGTAGTTTTGTTGTTTTTGCTAAAAATCAAGAAGATAAAAAAGAATGGTTGGATGCTTTAAATAAGTCTATTGAAAAACAAAATGGTACTATCACTGCTAAAAATACAAGAAGTACTGTTGTTCGTCCTGTATTTAAACCTGACAGTGAAGCATCAAACTGTGAATTGTGTCATATAGATTTTACTTTTGTAAGAAGAAGACATCATTGTAGAGCATGTGGAAGATGTATTTGTGGAGAATGTAGTAAATGGAAAATGCCAATTCCACCAAATAATACATTAGAAAGGGTATGTGCAAAATGTTTTGATTTATATAATAAAAATCGATTAAAACAAAAAGATATATCAACAAGAGAAAAAAGATTAGATACTGAAATGTCAAAACGTTCTATCTTTGAACAACAAAAGATTTTATCTGGAGGTGATATTAATGACTCTGAACAAAATGACGATTGGCAAGAATTTGAAGATATTGAGTTTGATAAACAACCTTCTCCTCGATCTCTTTCTTCTACTTCTGTTCCTCCTACTCAACCTAAACATTCTCCTTCTCCAGTTGTTGGTAATACTCCTCAAAAAATTCAATTACAACATAGTAGCTCAATGCAAACACTTCCTTCTTCACATCTTCCTGAACCAAAAAGAAAACCTCCTCTCCCTCCAAATAAACCAATTCCAACTCCACAACCTAAACAACAACTTTCACATTCAGCAGTTGGTTTATCTTCTTCTAATCTTTCAGTTACACAACCTCCAAAAAAAATACCTCCACAAGTTCCAAATAAATCAAGAACAAGTGAATCTACCTTAACTCAATCTACACCTTTACATCAAAAAAGTACTTCACGTTTATCTCAAACTAATAGATTATCTTATAAATCACGTCCTTTACCTCAACCACCAGTAAAATCTGAAACTTCAAAACCTGAAATTATTTAGCTTAAATACTATAATAACCATTCAAATAAATGTAATAGGATTTAAACAAATAATATTTTGTTCTTTTTTTTTAGAAATAAATTAAATAAATTTATTATAAATTTTACTATTTAATAAAATTTTATGAACAAAGAATTAAATAATGAAATTAATTGAAAAGAAGTACAATATTAATAATTATTCAATTTTTAGTTGTGAATATCACGTTAAAAATGCAAAATCAAATATTATTATAATGCATGGATTTAGAGGATATTCTGGACCATTAACTGAATTAGCAAAGTATTTTGTTCAAAATAAATTTTCAGTATTTATGTTTGATTTTCCATATCATGGAAGATCATCAGGTAAACCAAAAACATATTTTAATAATATAGATGAATTAGTTAATATCACAAATCAATATATTAATCTTATTAAAACTTCAACTCAACCTTTACCCTTAATTCTACTCGGTCATTCATTAGGTGGGTTAATTACTTGTATCATTGCAAGAACAAGATCTGATATTACTGCTGGAATAGCTATTGCTCCAGGACTCATTTTAAAAACAAAAATCGTTTATTGGATTTATTATCTTTTAATGATTCTTCTTTTTTTCTTTCCAAAGATCTTTATTCCTTGTCCATCAAATCATAAAATATTTCCTAACGATGAATTATTCATTAAATATCATTCTGATCCTTTGATGTTTAATGGAAATTTGGCTTTAAATTCTGTTTTTCAAATTGCTAAAACTGGAGATTTGGAAAAAGATACTGATATTACTATTCCTTTTTATATAGAACATGGAGATGCTGATTCTATTGTTGATGTTATTGGAAGTCGGATTAAATCACTTCATTTGAAAAACTCAAAAAGTAAATACAAAGAATATCATAACATGAATCATTTACTTTTTACTGAAAATAATTGTCAAGAACAATTTACTTGTTTTGTTGAATGGATTAATAAAGTTATTGAAGAAGAATAATTATAACTTTTTTATATATTTTTTTTTTCGTTTGATAGACATTTGATGGAATATCATCGACTTAACATAGTTTTTGTGTTTTACTATTTCTCTGTATAATAGTATATTATTTACTTTCATTATATTCATTTAATAATAATTACATTTGACTTTTGGAATTTATTATCTTATTAATTGATATTTTGAAATAAAATAATAGAAGTTTAATAGATTTATAATTTATATTATTTTTTATCATTCAAAATCCTTAATAAAGAAATACTACTATTTTTTAAATAAAATTTGTTAGTCAATAATATAATTTTTATATTTTACAGTATTTCTTTCGATTTTTATTTTTAGAAGTTGTTTGTATTAGACTATGTAACAAATATTCTAATACAAACATAAATTGTAATAGTATCTAATGTATTGAATAGTATAATTAAACTCGATATAACGAAAAAAAGAAAAATTAAAGAATGTACAAATTGAGCTGTTGGTTCTATTATTTGTGATTTTAGTAATGGTTATTGGAAATAATAATCAATAATTTGACATTTTTTGATACTAAATACAAATATTTTATATTATTAAAGATTAAAATTGGAATAACTTTGTTGGTTATTTTAATTTTCAAGTCAAAGAGTTAATGAACTTGTTAATACTCTTTACGCTTTTATATTTTCATTAAATTCAAATTAATGAATTGATAAATCTAAAAACCACATATCAAGTAATATTAAAAATTATGTATTTATTGTTTTGAATGTTATAGTACTTATTTATTTCATTTTGGTTATAGTTATGACATTGGTATTTATAAATCATAATATAAAAAAACGTTTTGTATGAATTTATTTAAATTTAAATATGATAGAAATTTATATCTAATGAGTAAATTAAAACAAAATGACTTTAAATTGAAAAAGAATAACATTACTTTATATTGTTTAATCTACAAAAGAAATGCCTATTATCAATATTTTAAATTTTCTTGTTTATTCTATTATAATTCATATCTTTTATTTAAGCTTCATGTTTTACAAATGAATAAAACCATTTTTTTTTAATTTTATCAGACAATAAATTGTGTATTAATTATTATTGACAAGACTTATATATTATCCTAGAAAGAAACTATAGTTTGTAAATTATTAATAACAATAATCAAATTAAATAAAAGAAATATAAAAAGATTTCGATATTAAATAAAATAGTTTTACTATATATATAAAGATACTGAATTAATGTTGAATGATTTTATATTACAAAATTGATTAAATGATTCTTCTTAAAAATAAAGAAATAATTTTTAAATTTACAAAAAAACTTTCATTTATTTTTTCTTCATTACTTTTTGCTTTTTTTTCTTTTGACTAAAATTTCAATTAATTCTTTAAATTTTACTAAATTTGATATATAAAACAAAAATTGAAATAATTAAAAAAGTTAAAGAAAAGTCATACAATAGGAAAGATGATTTAAACTAACAAATCTTCAAATCAAAACATTCGTTATGACTTATCAACCAGTTGACATAACCACTAATACTATTCCTGTTACTAAAGAACATTATTATCGTGGATTAGAATTAATTAGTCAAGGGAAAACTGCATTAATAACACTTGCAGGTGGACAAGGAAGCAGACTTGGATTTGAACATCCAAAAGGGATGTTTGTATTACCATTTGAAATACCAAAATCAATATTTCAAATGACGTCAGAAAGATTATTAAGACTTCAAGAATTAGCAAGTGAATATAGTCATCAAAAGAATGTAATGATTCATTGGTTTTTAATGACTAATGAAGAAACAACAGAAGAAATTAATAATTATTTTAAAGAACATCAATATTTTGGATTATCCTCTGAACAAATTCATTGTTTTCCACAAGGAATGCTTCCAGTTGTTGACTTTAATGATAAGCCATTATATGAAAAGAAAGATAAAATTTGTATGGCACCAAATGGGAATGGAGGATTATTTAAAGCATTAAAAGATAATGGGATATTAGAATTTATGAATGAAAAAGGAATTAAATATTCAGTCGCCCATAGTGTAGATAATATATTATGTAAAGATGTAGACCCAAATATGATTGGATATATGGATTTACTTCAGTCAGAGATTTGTATTAAAATTGTAAAAAAAACAATAAAAGAAGAAAAAATTGGAATATTAGTAAAAGAACAAGAAAGGATTAAAGTTGTTGAATATACTGAATTAACTGATGAATTAAATAAACAATTATCTAATGGAGAATTTATTTATAATTGTGGACATATTGCAATCAATGCATTCTCAACACCTTTCTTAGAAAAAGCTGCCGAATATCAATTACCATATCACATTGCTAAGAAAAAAGTTCCATTTGTTAATGAACAAGGAATAGTTATTCATCCTTCAGAAAATAATGGAATTAAAAAAGAAATGTTTTTCTTTGATGTTTTTCCATTAGCAACAAAAGTATCAATTTTTGAAATTCAAAGATTTATAGAATTTAGTGCTTTAAAAAATTCATTAAATGAAAGTTTTGATAATGTTAATACAGTTAAAAGAGACTGGTATCGTTTAAATATTTATTACCTTAAAAAAGCTGGAGCTATTGTTGATGATTCAAAAAGTCCAATTTGTGAAATTAGTTTTAGAAGGTCATTTGAAGAAGAAGGTTTAAAAGAGTTTAAAGGAAAAACAATTCAACTTCCTTTTATTCTTAATTAAATAACGTTTTTTTATTCTATTTTCATTAACAAGAATAAATAATAATAAATTAAATTAAGGTTTAATAACTTTCAACTTATTGTTCAAGTGAGAATTTCTTCCCATCCTTCACTCTCCTGAGAGTCTTCTTCTTCTGGTATTTCTACATCTCTGTATTCTCCAGAATAGTCTTTACAATATCTCATAAGATCTTTCATATTTGTTATTACAATCTTTCTTGTCATTATTTCCCTTGGTATTTCTATTCCTTCTGCATTTAGTAATCTAACTGTTTCTTTGTTTATTAATCCACTCACTGTTATTACTACTGGTATAACTATTACTCATACTAATCTTTCTATCTTTCTTATATGTTCGTGTAGTTTTGAATACATATTAATCTTATCTGTAAATGCTTTACTTATGTTTTTATCTCTTACTATTCTCATATCTATAATCATTACTTCTTTCTTATTTAAGTCTCTGACATAAATGTCTAGTCTTTTATGGAATTTTCCTTCACTTCTGTTTACTATTTCTTGATTCCAAACTATAAGTATTTTATCTTTCTCTATTCTTCTTTCGTTCTTTCCTAATTCTTCTTTCCTTATTATTAATTTTTTGTATTTTCTTCTTCTCTCTTCTTCATCTTTTCTTTGTTTTCATATATTTGGTATTTAATCTTTAATCTCCTCCATATATATTCTCCTATTCTATCATGTTTATTCATTTGTGTTTTCTTAGTGATTATATAATTCAAAAGAATATGATTTATTGTTGCTATCTTATTACACATTGGACACATTGCATATCTCATGTCATGTTTCATTAATGCTTTCCTTACTCCTACATTTCTTGCTTTCTCTTCCATCTTCTTTATTTGTATATATGCTTTTCTTATAACATTAATTCCTTTCCATACTTTAATTGTTTTCTTCTGCTCAGTCATTTTATCTTCAAATACTCTCAATATTTCACTACTTACTTTCTTGTTTATCCATTTATTGATATATTCTTCTTGGAACTTCTCTCTCACATACTTAATTATTCTGTTTTTATCCCGTTTTCCTCTTTCTTCTTTTATTAATATTTTTCTAAATTCTTCTTTGTTTATTCTTTTTCAACATGCTTTATAAAATCTATTCCACATTCCATTCTTCTTTTCATTTATTCGTATCATGTCTCCTATTCTATCTCCTCTTTTCCATGTGTAATATAAGATTGAAGAAAGTAAAAAATCTGAATATAAAAATGAGATTTAACAAATGATGAAAAAAACAAATAACAAATTATTATTAATTATAGAATTTTAATAATAAAATACTAAATAAAATAAAAAAAAAGTAAAAAACGAATTAAAGAGAAATTTGTTCATCCACTAATATACCTTCTTCAGGTTGTTCTTTAATGATAATTTCATCATCATCATTATATTCATTAACTTCCATGGAAACTTCCGTTGGATGAGATATTTCAAATTTCTTCGACCTTCGACTTAATTCTTGTTTATCATTCTTTACCATTAATAATGCCATTGCAAAACAATACAAATTAAAGTAAACAATTGAGGCTAAATAAATTGATGAAGCATCATACCCATCAAACAATAATATACTTAATACAATAATAAAAATGAATACAATAACGATGTTAAATACACTAAATCCAATAACTCTTCTTGATTTTTCACCTAATTTATGTCTTTCAGTAAATGTTCTAATCAAAGAGAAAATGAGCCAAAATGCATAAGTTAAAACAATTAATAATACAATGACTCCTAATATAATTAATACAACATTAGATGTTCCAGCAATTAAATATTTAATGTCAAATACCTTTTGTGTAAAAATAAAACAGCATAATGTAATAAATATTATTCCAACAAAGATAACTCTTACTCCAATAAATTTAAACCATAATGTTGTTGTACTCATTTTATTTATTGGTTTTCTTAATGAATCAAAAATAATTAATATATAAAATAAAAAGAATGAAATTGCAAATGACTCAACAACTGATGATATTAATGAAAAGAACCAATGATGTGCTTGATATTCAATCAATGCTAATGGATTATTAAATAATAATAAAATGTACATTAATGTAAATGTTAATATTTGTTCAAATATCCATTCTTTTATTGGAATAGTTCTCATACAATACATAAATGTCATTAATTGAATACTTCCAACACAAACAAAAGCAATTCTCCAAAACAATTCTGTAACAGTAAAGAAACTATTTGATGTCATTAATGTTAATGTTGGTTTCATAATAATTTCATCTTTGTATGAATTATCTGTTTGGAAGATAAAGTAATAAAAATGATAATCTGCTTTGAACTTTAATAAGAAATCACTTTTACATGACTTTTGTGAACATTCAAAATTAATATTCATTGTTTCTGTTAATTCTGGATCTACATTTTTCATTGCTTCTTCATCTGAATATCCTCCAAGAAAATAATGAATTGGCACTATAAATGTTTTTTGTGTTGTTAATTCTTCACTTTTTATTTCTGCAGATAAACTAATTCGTGCTTCATAATTAAATCGTGAAAAATATCCAAAATGAACTTTTACCTTATCGTATTGAATTGCTTCTTTTTCTTTATTAAAAGCATTATATCCCATACATTGTTTAGAATCAAATTTCTCAGTATTATTACATCTCCATAAATCCATAGAATTTTCTATTACAGTTGATGTAAAAACTGTAGCTAAAATACTTAATAACACAGCTAACACAGAAAATATTACTCCAATGATGATAAGTCCTTTTCTATCTAATGAACTTAATAATGTCTGTTTATTATCAAAAATCCCCATTATTATTTGATTTTTAAGTTCTGATTTTTTATCTCTTTTTATTTTAATTATCAAATAGTTTTTATTTATTATTAAATAATTTATTTAAAAATGTCGTAGATCTATTTATTATTTTAAAGATTTATTCAAAACATTTTAATTAACTTCATTATTAAAACATTTTTTATTTTATTTCTTGTTTAAGTTAATTGATGAATAATGATGAAATAATTTAAAGGAAATTTGAATACATTAATAAATTTTTTTATTATTATTGGTTTTTATGTCTTTATTGTGTGAAACTATTTCATTTATTTTATCCTTTAGATATGTGAAGGTTTATTTGTTATATTATTCTATTTTTTTGGGAGATCGAAGGTGGCATGTCTAAAACACCACACACTTTATTACAAATTCAAGCTTCGACTCTCCCAGTTATTATCTGGTTATGACGGTGTATTTGAATTAGAAATGTATTAGGTAAAACTGCAAAGGGTGTAGCAAGATATTATGATAGAATATTACATGGTGTAATATAAGGAAGTACTAAAGTGTGGGTAAGACTAAAAGAAAATTAAACATAATAATATAATGGGAATGAAATACTCTCTTCTCTCATTCATAAAATAAAGAAAAAAGGAAAAAGAAAATGTTTAAAATTAAGATAGAAAATAAACAAAAGGATAAAAAGAAGAAATAAGCAGAAGAAGGATGAGAAGACATTAATAAGAAAAAATAAAAGAAGTGATTTTAACAATTTGCAAGAAAAACATAAATGATAAGTTAAAGAAAAAGATTACTCTTTTTAAAAAACAAATAACTCAGGGATTTGATTAATCTCGGCTAAACTAGGAAGAATATATGAAAAATCTATTAACACTTAATTAAGTAATTTTTAATTATTCAATGAGTTAATTCAAATAAGAAATTGTAAGAAATGACAATTCTTGTATAATGTTTATTATTGATATTTAATGGTAGTTTGTATTTATTAAAAGAAATCAAAACATAATTAAAGTATAATTATAAATATATTCGAATATTAATATGTTAGTATGAAGTACTAAAATAAAAGTAATACTATACATTTTTATTATGTTCATTCAAAGAATTTAATTGAAAATGATTGAATTGATTATTTTATTTTGGTCTTATTTTATTCTTCTTGATAAACACAAATTAATAATAGAATATAAGAATAATTAATAAAAGAGTAAGAATGATGAAATAGAAACAAAAGAATAAGTATTTTGTTCAATGGTTTATGATAATTTTAGAATATACCAAACTAATTTTCAAAGATTTTTGGTAGTAGGCATTTCATATTTTTGTTTACCAAATTTAAAATATTAAAAGACTGAAATAATCCCAAGAAACACAATTTTGTTATAAATAAAATTTGATAAGAAAGGAAAGAAGATATTTAAAGAAAAAAAGAACAGAACTTCAAACAAGAAATCATAATACATATATGAATACATTAAGTATAAAGTAAGAGATGAAGGACATGATTAAGAAAGAAGAAGCTAGTAATTAAAAGAAGTGAAAGTAAGAAGAAGTACAAAACAGGGAATATAAAATAGGAAGAAATAAGCAAGAGAAAGTTAAGAGACTCTATCAAACAGATAGAGGAGATGAATAAAGAAATATAAAAAGAAAACAAAAACATGTAATTAGGAAATTAAACAAAGGAATGTGAAAGGATAATAATGAAAAGCATCTGATGAGATGACCATTTCTAAGAGTAGAATCTAAATAGAAAAGTAACACGGAATAAAAACTGTCATTCAAATGATTAATGTGGTGATCAAATGAAAGAAGAAATTAAAAGTAGTTTGAAGTTGTTTTTTTGTATTTATTACTTAAGGAAACATTAAGAAAGCTTCATGATATACCACAGAGAAATATCATGAACAACTATCCAAATAAATTATTACCTCGAGTTCATGATCCGAGTGTATGGAATTCACATAATCGAAACATGTTAGAATGAAAAGGGATATAAATTGAAAAGGAAGTTGAAGAAAGTAATAAAGAAAATAAACAACTCATAGAAGATAAATCTGTATTTAAGAAACAAGAAAAGAGAATAACAACAGTAGAAGATAAAGAATAGAAATAAATATAATTGAATAAATTAATTAAAATATTTATGATAAAAATATAAAATAATAAAAAATAAACATAATAATAATAAGAAGAAATGTATAAAGAATAGAATAATAAATATAAATAGTATCATAATATTAAACAACAAATGGTTATAACAATTATACAATAAATAAAATTGTATTTAATATTTATTTAATATTTTTATTAGTTATTATAAATATAACATTATTTCATTCATTATTTAGTTGTTTATTTTATTATTTTCATTTTTATTTATCTTTCATTATTTGCATTGTTCATTTCATTTAGTTATTTTATTTCTTAT